GAAGAAACCTCGGAGCCCCTAATTAGCTCCATCTCTGCAGGAGACCCCTGGGACCTCATTAGGCTTTTCAATTAGTGCCTGGCCAGCCCGCGGGGGGAGGACTGGGGGAGGAGGGGGCGGCTGCAGTTCAGGGCTCGGAGGTGCCAGGAGTGCCCAGAGAGCGCCAGGAAAGCTCCGAGATGGCTCCAGGTGCTCCAGGTGCTCCAGGTGCTCCAGGTGCTCCAGGTGAGCTCCTGGCCAGGAAAGCTCTGAGCCAGCTCCAGGTGCTCCAGGTGCTCCAGGTGAGCCCCTGGCCAGGAAAGCTCCGAGATGGCTCCAGGTGCTCCAGGTGCTCCAGGTGCTCCAGGTGAGCTCCTGGCCAGGAAAGCTCTGAGCCAGCTCCAGGTGCTCCAGGTGCTCCAGGTGCTCCAGGTGCTCCAGGTGAGCTCCTGGCCAGGAAAGCTCCGAGATGGCTCCAGGTGCTCCAGGTGCTCCAGGTGCTCCTGATGCTCCAGGTGAGCCCCTGGCCAGGAAAGCTCCGAGATGGCTCCAGGTGAGCCCCTGCCCAGGAAAGCTCTGAGCCGGCTCCAGGTGCTCCAGGTGCTCCAGGTGCTCCAGGTGCTCCAGGTGAGCTCCTGGCCAGGAAAGCTCCGAGATGGCTCCAGGTGCTCCTGATGCTCCGAGCTGGCTCCAGGTGAGCTCCTGGCCAGGAAAGCTCCGAGCCGGCTCCAGGTGCTCCTGATGCTCCAGGTGCTCCCAGCCAGGAGCAGCCCCTGCCCAGGAAAGCTCCGAGCCGGCTCCAGGTGCTCCAGGTGCTCCAGGTGCTCCAGGTGAGCTCCTGGCCAGGAAAGCTCCGAGCTGGCTCCAGGTGCTCCAGGTGCTCCAGGTGCTCCAGGTGAGCTCCTGGCCAGGAAAGCTCCGAGATGGCTCCAGGTGCTCCAGGTGAGCTCCTGGCCAGGAAAGCTCCGAGCCGGCTCCAGGTGCTCCAGGTGAGCCCCTGGCCAGGAAAGCTCCGAGCTGGCTCCAGGTGCTCCTGATGCTCCAGGTTTCTCCCAGCCAGGAGCAGCCCCTGCCCAGGAACCCCACGGGGCTGTGGCCGAGGGGACCCGGGCCAGCTGTAGAAGGTTTCTGACCTTTTCGTGCAGCCAGGGGATGGTTTGGGCTGGATGGAATCACAAAGGTCACCTTGTTCCACCCCCAGCCATGGCAGGGACACCTCCCACCCTCCCAGGTGCTCCCAGCCCTGTCCAGCCTGGCCTTGGGCACTGCCAGGGATCCAGGGGCAGCCACAGCTGCTCTGGGCACCTGTGCCAGGGCTGCCCACCCTGCCAGGGATATTCCTTCCCAAAATCCCATCCCTCCCTGCCCTCGGGCAGTGGGAGCCATTCCCTGGGTCCCGTCCCTCCAGGCCTTGTCCCCAGCCCCTCTCCAGCTCTCCTGGAGCCCCTCTAGGCACATCCAGGAGCCAAACACTGCTGGGAGTGTCCCAGGCCTCCCACACCCCGGACATCTCCCACACAGTTAAATCACCTAACACCGCCCAAAACTCGTCCAAAATGGAGGAGAGGAGCCCCCAGACCGTCTGGTCACATCATCCCAAACGGAAACACGCTGGATATCCAGGCTTTTGAACACAAACCCCAGAGTTCTTCCTCTTCTACAACCATGGAATGGTTTAGGTGGGAAGGGACCTGAAGGAGCACCTTGCCCCAGCGCTCTCCCTGGGGCAACCACACCTCCTGTAGAAGTGCTCCAGAGGACAAATAAAATCCAACGGGACCCGTTTTCCGTGGAGAACCACTCTGAGCTGGAATTTTCACGCAGCTGCAGGCGTGACGGGTCTTTTGCTCCCATGATCTGTTCCAGGGGCTCCACCCGGGGCTGGAGCACCCCCGGTGTCACCTCCTTCCCCAGGAGCCGGGCTTGGTGACCCACTGCTCCTGGCAGGGATAATCCCACCCCGTCCCAGCTCCGGAGCACCACGAAAGCTTTGCAACAGATGTTCCTTTTCCGTATGGGAAAACACGGAGTCAAACAAAGGAATATTCTCCTGCTGAAGCCCAACATCTGTTTGAAGGCGTCTGGCTCTGGCTGGGGTTTAATCCTTGTGACAGGTCCCTCCATGCCTCTAATGTCCCATGAAATCCAATTCCAGGAGCTGCTTGTCCGCAGGCCGGGGCCGCACGTCCCGCGGGCGCTCCCGGCCGAACGCAGCCTCTTGGAGCAGCTTTTCCCAAAAACTCTCCCTTTTGCCTCTTTCCAGCGACAGCCCCGCGCGTTCTGGGCACACCCCGACCCCTGCCCGGTGCTCCGTGGCCGCTCCTCCCGAGCGGTTACTGCGCTCCCCTCCACAACTGACAGCTTTGTTCTCTCTGAAAGCAAGACTTTTAAATAATCTGGGGTGGAAGCGTGTCCCAGATTTGGGTGTGACAACAGGAAGGATGCTCGGGGCACCCCGAGGGTTTTGTGGCACCCAGCAGCCGCCTGAGCTGACGCCCGGCTCGCCGCTGGCAGCTCCGGGCTGCTCCAAGCTGGCAGTTCCAGCTGTCCACATGCTGCTCCTGAGCTGGACGAAGCAGCCGCGCTCCTGCCGGAGCTCCCACTGCTGCTCGCAAAGGCATCGGGAGCTTTCGCGAGGTTTTGGAGCTGGCGCCCGCCCCAGGTGTGACCCCAGGGCTCACGTAGCTGGGGCCTGGCTCAGGTGTGGGTTTTTGTAGTTCTGCCCAGCTCTGGTGTGGAAATCCTCAGACCCGGGTCTCCTCTGCTGCAGATATGGATGCCAACACCTGGAAAACACAGACAGATCCTCCTCAGTCACCTCAAAGTTCCCTTTCCCCTCCACCTGCAAACAGGTGCCTGCTGCTGCTCCACTTCCTTAGAAATACTTCCCTGGTGGCTTCTCAGCACTGGAAAGGAGAAGAGAAATGTCACAACAGGAGGAAAACGTGTCCCCGATCCCCCCAAATGCACCAAAGTCCCAGCAGGTGGGGACAGCAGGTGCAGGTGGGGTGCAGGCAGAGCAGCCAGGTGGGCCTGGGACACGGGAGCAGGGCAGGAGGTTCCAGAGGGGAATGCAGCAGGACTGTGAACCCCTTAAATTAGCTCCAGGCAGGTGCGGCTCCGAGCCAGTCCGCAACAGAAACAAAATCCTAAATTCCAGGGGGAAACCCGAGAGGTTTTTCCTGCTAAAGCACGAGGAGTGAGAAGAGTCCCGATGCACCCAAGTGTTGAACTGACTGAGGGCTCCAAGTGGGTTGAAAATCCATGGGGTGGGTTTTCTGCTGGTCCTCTTCCATCCCTGGTTTGGAAGAAGCAGCCCCAGAGGAGCCAGGACACAGCAGCACCTCCCACTCCCCAGCTTCCTGGGCACTGGTGCAGCCGAGCCCGCATGTCCTGACGCCCGGATAACCCCAGCGAGCTGTGCACTGTGGTGGACACCCCGAAATCCCCCTGAGCCCACCGACAGAGGTGTCAGGGGGTGCTGGAGCCCGGGAGCAGGGCTGGAGCTCCGTCCCGAGGTATTGCCCAGGAAGGTGGCAGAGGAGAAGTAGCGAGCGCTTCCCACACAGACCACACTCACACCGTGAGCTGCAGCTGCAGTTTTATTTCCTTTTGTGAAAAATAACAGGATTTTGAGGTGATCAAAACACAAGCCCTCCCAGGGCTCAGCCCCAGACCCTGCCCACCCCAGCAGCACTGCGGGCAGGAGCAGCACCGACGAAGCGGCGTCCCCGGGGCAGGACCCGCGCCCTGCCAGGACGGAGCTGGGGACGGGAGCAGGATTTTGGGAGCAGCTGGAGGCGTTCCTGCTCCCGGATCCGGGATGGAGCGCCAGCTCCAGTCAGCACCTGCCGTGTTTGGCGCGGGTTTCATCCCTGTGCCCCACGGCAGCGACGGGCACTCGGCTCATCCCAGAGGTCCCCATCGTCGGCAGCTTCTGGAGGGTCTATTCCATGATTTTTTTTCCTTTTTTTTTTTCCTTTTTTTTTTAATAAAAACAGTCTTTATGGTTGACTGCTGGCAGCAGCTCTGAGCAGAAAGCCCTTTCCTCCAGAGTCTGCTTCCAAAGAGTTCAGAAAGGGTCAAATATTGACCAATAATGGTTTTGGCTGCGTTTGAATCTTGATTGTGGCTTCTGCAATGTACAGCGGGGCGGGCGGGCGGGGGGCGAGGCCGGTCCCTCAGTCAGCAGGTTTGGTGACCAGGGACAGGGGCTGCGTCTGCAGCGCGGCCAGGGCGGGCGGCAGCGCCGCAGGCGGCACCGAGGCGAAGGGCACGGCTCTGGAGGGCAGCGAGGGCGGGCTGCCGAGCCCGGACGAGGACGACGAGGAGGAGGACGCCTTGCCGGCGAGGACGGCGGAGTGCACGGCGAGCTGAGCCCTGGCCTCGGCCTTGGTGGTGAGAGACAGCGGCTGGGCCTGCTCCGAGTGCGTGGCGGCCGGCGCGGCCGGCGAGGCCAGCGCGGCCGACGGCGTGGCCGGCGAGTCCAGCATGCTGCCGTGGGACGAGGCCGGGCTGGCGCACGGCTTCTCGGCCGGCAGGTAGGGCACGCACGGCTTCTTGCTCCTGGAGGGCAGCGAGCCTGCGGGGACAGGCGCGGCGTGAGCGCCGGGGCGCGGCGCCGGGGCGGGCGCGGCGCGGGTACTCACCGTCCGCCTCCTGGCTCTGCTGCTGCGCCAGCTTCTCGCGCTTCCGCTTCTTCTTCTTGCCCTGCAAAGCGGGATTTCAGCTGCCCCGAAACCACAGCGCCGCCACCGCGGGGATGCCGAGGCCGGCGGGCGCCGGGAAGGGCCGGGGCACACGTACGTAGTTGTCCCGCGCCGACCAGGTCGGGTAGAGCTGCGAGTGCAGCTGCCGCTCCTTCCGCGCCAGCTCGTAGTACTTGGCCTGTTCCTCCCGAGACAGCGAGTGCCACTGCGGGGAGAGCACGCTGGAGAGCCCAGAGCCAGGCTGGAGAGCCCAGAGCCAGGCTGGGAACCCCCAGAGCCAGGCTGGGAAC